TTACTTTATTTTATTAATTTAAAATTTCAGTTTGGTGATTATTGGAACACTATTCTTAACAAGCAAAGCAGTTCTCATATGAGTTCTTTCCCTTCTGTGTTTTTTATTCCAATGATATATATACATGTCCCGGGCTTTTGCTTTTTCGGACTGGGCTCTCATAGCTCACTTCCTTGCTTGAATTGTAGCATACTTGTGCCATGATATCTAAAATTTCAACAGTCTTTTACTAGGCTATTCTGACACCGGATGAGTAAATAACACACCGTATGCTCTTTTCTCATTTTCCCCTTAGCTTGATTATCATGTATGCTTGGACCCTTCCATTATATACTTCCAAAGAGGGGGAAAATTCAGTTTTAGAAGTGATAATGATTTATAATTTTTTTCTTGATACTTTTTGATATTATACCACTTTTTTGTAATATGCCTCATGCTTCTTAGAAATGCTTTTGAAAAAAATGTTCTTGTTAATATCAATATCCATTTTCCACACTACAACACATTGAATTCTTTCTCCTTATATATGGTTGGATTTGCTTCATTTTTTTGATGAACAACGACTGGTTTTTGCTCTATCTCAAAGTCCTTTTAATTTCCCTCTAGGACTCACACAACCAAGCTGGTATTGTCTACAATGGCGGTTTGGTGCCTCTTCGTAAACTTCTTGACTCAAAAAATGGATGTTTGCAACATAATGCTGCATTTGCTCTATATGGTATTGCAGAGAATGAGGTGAAACTACATCAAAATATTCTTTTGTTGTGATTTCATTTTCTGTTTCTTTGCATAATGCTGCAATGTGAAATTGAGAACTATTGGTTGGACACAAGCTTCTTATTCTTGTCTTTGTTGTTAGGATAATGTTTCTGATTTTATCAAGGTAGGAGGTGTTCAGAAGCTACAAGATGGTGAATTCATTATCCAGGTATGTTGAGCACTTTGATGTTGCCAGATCCATGCTTCCTAATGTGTATATTGATCTTGTTTTGATTTTTTTATATATTTTGCACTAAGTTTTATTGAAAAATATTCCTTCAATTACAGGCCACTAAGGACTGTGTAGCAAAGACAATGAAGAGATTAGAGGAGAAGATTAATGGGCGAGTAAGTTCTGTTTGCTGTATTTCTTGGCTTATTGCAGTATTTATTCAGAACGATAAGGATCTACTTTTAATTGGTGGATCTGTTTAATGGATGTAGACATGGTGTTTCTTGTCTTTTGCCTTTGTAGGTACTAAATCATTTATTATATCTGATGCGAGTTGGAGAGAAGGCTGTCCAAAGACGTATAGCTTTGGCTCTTGCCTTTGAAGGCTGTCCAAAGGCCCATGTCTTAGTTTGTTCCAATCTTCTCAGGAGCGTTATTTGTTCTTATCATTTGTTTTGATACCCGACATAATTACTCCCTATTTCGACAATTTTTATTGTTTTGTAGAATTGATATTAGTTATTTGAATTCATTTGTGACTTCCAAAGCTGGAATAGTAGACTCAAATTGGTTGTTTAAATTCATTCAAAATTCTGAATATGTAATTTAGATGCAATTTGATCATTTTTTTTATCTCAATTGTCTTGTATTTCTTAACAGTGGCTTATTAGTTGCTGATATTATGAATTTATATTCATCTTACGAATTTAACATGATGCAAGCGTTCTTCTCGCTATTGAAATCCGACCATATCATATCAACAAGACTTCCGAATTGCATTTCCTTCCATGATGTGTGTGTTTAATATTTTGCATATCAGTTGACAATTCAGAATTGTTTTGGCCATTGTCAAATGCTTCAAACCATGTAATTCTTTATCTATTCAGTGATAATTTAAGTGATGGTTCTGATTAAAGGTTTTGTATAGTATCAGTGCACAGATATGGTTGGGATTCAATGATGGATTGACTTGTAGCTTTGTTGGGATTGTTGACTTTATTATTTGTTGTTGTTGTTTTGGACTTCACTCAGAACCAAAAAGTTAGAACATGTTTCCAAACGATGATTGGT